ATATTTCATCCAGTTTTTCTCAGTCTTACCCCCACCCCAATGCCAGCCTCATTCTACAACAGTGGCACCATATAGCATTTGTCCTTTTGTGACTGAGATACTTCACTCAGCATAATGTCCTCCAGCATCACCCATTTTGAATAATATTGCATGAGTTCCTTGTTTTTCAATGCAGCATAGTATTCCATTGTGCGAATATGCAACTTTTTGAGAAAGCGCCATACTGCTTTCCACAGGGGTTGGACCATTTTACACTCCCACCAACAGTGAATAAGGGTTCCAGTTTCTCCACAACCTCACCAGCATTTGTTGCTTGCTGTTCTGTTAAATTTTACTATTCTTACTTGGGGTGAGATGATATCCCATAGTTGTTTTGATTTGCATCTGTCTTAGAGCTAGGGATTTTGAAAATATCTTCACGTGTTTGTTGGCCATCTGAATGTCTTCTTTGGTGAAGTGTCTGTTCATATCCTGTGCCCATTTTTCAGTTGGGTTGTTTACCTTTATCTTGTTGTGGTAGCATGGTCTTTTAAAGTTGTTTGCTATGCATTTGAGAGCTGGGTGGTGAATAAGGATGACAGAAAAAGAATCAATGCCTTTGAGTTGTGGTGTTGGAGAGGAGTACTGGATATCCTATGGAGCACCAAAAGAATGAACAGATGTCTTGGAGAGATTACAGCCTCCCTTAGAGACAAAGATAGTGAAACTGTCTCACACACTTTGGGCATATTATTTATTTGGAGGGGCCAGTTCTTGAAAAAGGACATTGTACTTGACTTGATGGAGGGTCAGCGAAGGAAAGAAAGACCCTAAATGAGACAGATTCACTGTAACAGTGGGTTTATGTCAGAAAAGCTTGGGATGGCACAGGATAGGTCAAGGTTCAGGTCCATTGTTCATTGACTCACTACAAGTTGTAGTTGACTTGACTAGACTTAACAGCAACAGTAATCCTGACAACAGACAGCTCTGATGGTGTAGCCTGTAATTAACCAAAACCCCACATGTTTGAATCTATCAGTGGCTCCTTGGTTAAAAGACAAGCAGTATCCTCCCATACAATTTATGGCCTTTGAAACTGGATTAATGAAGGTTTGTTATGAGTTGCATTTGGCTCTATGGCAATGAGTTTATATTTAAGATCCAGCAATGCCTGATGTCCAATAGGTCCTTGGGTAGCTTTGATTATCTGAGCTTGTCTGAGTTGTGTTTCTGCTCATTGTAACATAAAGAATTAATTTTGTTGCAGAGATTAACATGGACTCTCTGACCTGCCTGAAACACCCAATTTATGGGGACTCCATACACAGTGACTACAACAGTGGGTTCAGGTGTAGTGTAGATGGTGAGGAGGTCACAGGACAGGGCAAGGTTCATAAGTTCACAGGGTCGCTATGAGTTATAGTCAACTCGACAGCATATAACAACAACTATGCACATTGGGACAAGATACTGCCTGGTGATGTAACATCTCCATGATTGGTTGGCAATTGGACCATTATAATCCAGGGTGTTTTCATTGGCTAATTTTTGGAAGCAGATTGCTAGTCCTTTCTTCCTAGTCCAGCTTAGTCTAGAAGCTTTGCTGAAACCTGCAAAGCATTGTAGCAGCACATGAGGCCCCACTGACAGGCGGTGGGTACACTTGAGGTGCATGAGGTGACAGTCACACATGGGTTCGGGTCACTGGAAGACAAGAATTTTACCGCAAAATAACTAGTGCTTCTGTGGTGCAGGTGCTTAATATGTTCTGCTGCTGCCAAAAGATTGTAAGTTCAAGTCTACCCAGGGGTACCTGCGAAGAAAGGTCAGCTAATGCACTTAAAAAAATAAATAAATCAGCCATTGAAAATCCTGTGGAGCATAGTTTTATTCCCATGTCCATAGAGGCACTGAGGTTCAGAACTGAGTCAACTGCAGACTGGTACAGGGATTCAGAGGTGCATGCATGAGACCCAGATATGGGCCATGGGAGTGGGCAACAGAGTGTAGACCCTTGAAGAATTACCTGCAGTGGGGATAGGATATGGTAGTGCCACGGAAGAGGCAGGGGTTACAGAAAGTGTTGCTGGGCCCCGGAGGGGCTGTGGTGAGGATGTCATACACAGAAAGCACCATCCAGGCAGTGGCCTCTGATGTTGCCTCTCTCAGTGTCTCATGCATGTTGTTATGGAAAATGGCGAATAGTCACCACTCAAAATAAAAGCTGGAATCTGAGAGGAATCTCTATTATTTTCTTACAAGACAGAAGGAGCTGGGTTAAGAAAAATCTATGGAGAATTTGCCTCTTTAATCAGAGGACACCTGAAAAAAGGAAAATGCTTTGGATGTCCCTCTTCATCTGCCTCTAATTAATAATTATTGTGATAATTGGTATGTGATTTTGCTTCTGTTGCCCTATTTGATGCTTTTTGTTTCTTATACTTTTATATTGTTTCTGATGTTTTCTGTCTTTCATGAAAGGTCTTTCTATTCTCCTGTGACGACAAGGTCTATTTTAAGCCCTAGTTGTTGGTAGGTGCTGTCAGGTCGAGTATGATGCATAACAACCCTATGAAGAACCAATCTGAACACTATCCTATCCTGTGCCATCCTCACAATCTCTGACACACTCAAGTCCATTTCCACAGTCATCATGTCAAGCCACCTGGTTGAGGGTCTTCCTTTCTTTTCTGTCCCTCCACCTTCCCAAGCATGATGTCCTACTCTAAGGAATAGCCTCTCCTAACAACATATCCAAAGTATGTGAGTGAAAGTTTCATCATCTTTGCCTCCAAGGAGCATTCTGGCTGTGCCTTCTCTAAGACATATCTGATTTTTTTCTTTTGGCAGTCTGTTCAGCTCTCGGATGCATAGTAAGTGACTGAAAAGACCATGGTCTGAATCAGGCACACCTTTGTCCTCAAACTGACATTATTGTTGTTGTTATTGTTATG